AAGAAGTTAGTGAGTACTTTCCCATATATCCGGGGAGTGAACCAAACTTACTCCATTTTCTTGAGGGCTTGCAGCCTAGGAATTTGTCAGAAGTTAACTGGTATTTTTCTACTTTAGCCTAGACCTAACACCTGTTGTTATCCTCATTTTATAGACAGGGAGAAAGGGTCAGAGAGAGACGGCAACCTCCCCAAGGTCACGAAGCACATGGGCACAAATGGTCCAAGAGTTGTAAAAGAGTGCTGTGACCGTATCAGCATGTCCTGTATTTTAAACCAAACAGTCCAAGGGCAGGGGTGGTCTGCAGGGCACAGGGAGAAGGCAGCGAGGGCTTGGCTCGGTCTCCCCAAGGTCATCCACGCCCAGGCTTGCTCAGGGGTGTTTTGCTGGGCGCCAGGATCGGGCTCAGAGGGCGGATGGATTTGAACCACGGCAGTTTGTCCCGTCGTGGGGACAGATCCAGGCCCATTTTAGGAGCAGTAAAGAAGGAGGTGTTCCCTCCCTCTGTGGATAGGATAGCTCAGAGCTGGTGTACAGATTAGATCCGCGGGACTCTGGCTGGTGCTGCTGTCCAGAGAGTAGGGCTCCGTGGACGCAAACAGAGCTGGGGTGGGGGAGGTGGGGCGCGGCCTTTATCTGCACTCTGGGGAGGTCCTGGGGGCATCTGAATAACAGCTGGATGTATGTCTTGTGTTGTGGAAAAATTGGCTCTGGATGGAAGGCTGCTTGGAGGGCAGATTCCAGGCAGGAGGCTAGAGGTTGGAGGGGACAGCTCAGGAGGTTTGCAGTCAGCTCCCGGCTTGTGCCCTGGGGTGCCGAGGACGGGCAGGGCCCTGCGGCCAGGATCGCAGTGCCATGGACGAGTGAAGGTGGAGAGATGAGTCGAGGCTGAGCAGGGAGCAAGGAGCGCGCTCACAGCCTGTCTACAGGTGTGTAAAATGAGCAGCCATTTTAGCAATAGTCAGTGAGTCATCACAGAAATTTTGCATGTTTAAATCGTGTAATTCCACTTCTAGGAATTTATCTTGGTGTGAGGGTGAGGGTGGGGTCTGTGTGTAAAGAGTCAAGCTGCGAATGTGGACAATCCAGGACGGTCAGCTCAGCATTACTAATGGTGGGAGAAAGCTGGGATGACTTCAATACCCACTAAACGCGGTGTGCGGAGCAGCCCTGCACATCTGCTGTGAGGAACTTCCACACACGCAGAGTTATGTTTCGGAAGCATCTCTAAAATATGGGAAAAAATTTTTACAGGGTAAGATGCTAATATGTAGAGTGCTTCCAATTGTGTTTTTAAAGTACACGTGCATTTTCAAAAGCCTGCAAAAATATAAAAAAATTTCCCATGGTGTGTCTCTGGCTGGTGGGACTCCACCACTGTTTAATTTTAGCTTTGTAATCTTGACTTTGTCATTTTCTGGTTTTATTTTAGAAACGTGCATAAGAACGTTTTATCTCTTTTATCTCCTATAATAATTTTTAATATAAGAGTAACATGTACTTTTTACTTAAAAGAATTAAGCACACACACACACACATATATATATGTGGCAGAAAATGAATGTTTTCTTTTTCCACCAAAATTTATTCCCAGGGATGGCCCTGGTCTATATACTTGCAGACCTTTTTCTGTGTGCATATGTTCCGAAAAACACACACATGAAGAATCGGTGTCTGGATTTGATTTTTCAAAAATAGAGTCATACTCTACATATTACCAGCTTTCTAAACAATCTGTTATTGACATTTTCTATATCAATTCACACGGATATACCACATTCTGATGATAGCTTTCTAAGAAAAGTCTGGATGAGCCAGAATGTATTTAGTCATTTCTCTACTAAGGGGCATTTAGGTTGCTTCTACTGAAACATATAAACAAGCAATCCGCGGTAGAAACCCAGGCATTTGTGTGCAGCCATGTGTGTATAAAGTGCACTTACCGTAACCCCGCAGGATAGATGCCTGAGAGTGGAACTGCTGGGGAAGAGGATGGACTTCTGAAGTGCTGTGGGCAGTGCCCCGTGGTGCTTCCAAGAAGCTATGTAGATTCACTGCATGACAGTGGGTGACAGCGCCTTCTCCCTGTGCCCTCACCAATAATGGGATGTTGTTAGTCTTTTTTTATTTTGCCCATCTGGTGAGCAAAACCCAGAACGTGTTCATTACTTTATTGTCTATTTGATTTGGTGAAATTTATTACCCCTTCAGATTTTTATTGCCCTACGTTTCCTTTTATGAGTTACCTGGTTATCATGCTGCCTGCTTTTCCATTCAGTCACTTGTATATGCAGAGAAACTCTTAATGTATTTGGGGTACTAACCCCCGCTTTACTGTGTATGTTGCATATATTTTTCCCCTGATCTGTTTTAGGGGTCTTTGTTTATGGAGTCTTTCACACTAAAGCTGTGTTAATTTTTATGCATTGAGTTGGTTTAACTTTTTAGTTATGGTTTCTGGGATCTGCACCATGTGTAAGACTGTCGTCTTCATTTCAGTGTTGCAAAATAGGTTTTCTGTTTTATTCTGGTACTTTCATTGGTTTGGTGTTTTGGTGTTCTTTGTTTCTTTTTTTTTTTCACTTCGTCTGGAATTTAGTTTTGTTTACATAAAAATGTAACCTTATTTCAAAATTGGAAAGCCAATTGTACATAGCACATTTGTTGAATAAGAATGTAACTTTTATCAAATACTAAATTCTTGATTTTTAACAGTCTCTCTGTGGTTCTCTGGATCTATTGGTCTATTCCTGCAATTACCGTGTTTTATCATGGCTTTACAGTATCTTTTGGTATTTAGTAGGGAAAGAATCCATCATTATCACTGTTTCTCAAAACATTCATGTTGTTCTTAATGTTGGACTCCAGAGTCAGTTCCTTGATTTTCAGAGATTATTCTTGTGGTGTTATGTCTGTAATTTTACGGAATATGCCACTAATCTGAGAAGAACTGATATCTTTAGAATGCTCAGCATTTTGTCCAGGAATGTGACGTTCTCTTTGTTCACTCACTTTTCTATTGTATCTGTTACTCAGGTGGTTTTATAATTCTTTTCATGCAAATATTGTACCTTTTATGTTGTCTATTCCTAAGGTTTTTAAATATGATTTTATTGAAGTTGAATACTTCCCCCAGTTGCATATTCTAAGTGGGCATAGCTTATGTAGCAGGGAGACAGATGGACTTGTGTGTTGGTCTCATATTACACTTTCATATTAGTTCTAATAGATATTCAGCTTATTCTGTTGGTGGTTGTTGTTTGGTTTTATTTTAGTCAACTATCACATCATTTGCAAAAAAATTTTTTTTCTCTTTTTTCCTAATAACATATGTCTCCTTTTTTCCCCTTTAACTCCTTTCATGGACTAGAATCTATAGATCATATTGAATAAAAATAACAATAGGTAACCTTGCCATGTTACTGACTCTGGAACGTTTTGCCACCAAATATGAAGATTTCTGTCAGTTTGGGCAGATATCCTTATTGAGTTGAAATTTCTTTTAATAACTTAATAAAAGGAAGGATGTTTTCTTTCTTTAAATCAGAAACAGGTGTTGAATTTGTTACTATTAAGTTCTGGAAAACCTTATGTGCATGTCTTAAATACATCCTATTGCTAAGGTGAAGACTTGCTGGCCCATCATCATGGGTATCTTCCAAAGTTAATAAATACCTTGGGAGGTACAATTGGATTTGCAAAAACTTGAGGATTCTTGCTATCACAAACTCTTAGAGTGTGACCTGGGTGTTTTCTGCTTTCTCTCTCAAGTCTTTTCATGGTATTTTGTGTTGTGGTAGCATGTTTAAGACACAGAGGGCAACTCAATGAGGGGAAAGCATTTTGGGATGACTCTAGGCCTTCAGCTTGAAGAGAAATTGCTAAAATGAAAACTGCAGGGGAGCAAGTGTGTAAGGAGATGAGGAGTTTAGTTGGGGCCTTTTGAGGCGGAGGTGCAGAATGCACGTGAATCTGAACCCAAGAAGAGAGGTAAGGGCTGGAGACAGAGGTCTAAGAGCCCTGAGAAGGCGTGGGAGTGCTCAGGGAGGGTCAGAGGCAGACAGAGTGACCACAGGGAGAGCAGGCCCCAGGTTGATGGCTTGGGGTCAGCAGCCATTATGGGCCTGGAAGAAAAGACAGCTGAGAAGGAGAGTGAGTGGTCTCAGATGCCAAGGAGAGAGTGACCAGAAAGAGGGACCTCTTGCAGAGACATTGGGGACTGGGGAGAAGCTGACTTATCTGGGACAAAGGACTTATTGGCCATGGCCTGAGAGGTTTCAGTGAGAGATGGAGGTGAGAGCCAGGGGGCCCTGCCAAGTCCCAGTGTGCAAAACAGTGCCTGGCATAGGTGGGTGCTTGGTGGTCATTGTTGGATGGTGGACAGGTGGATGGATGGACAGATAGAAAGAGTGGCCTGAAAGATCGGAGAAGGCTTCATGAATTAGGTGGGGCTCATCTACATCTTGATGAATAGAAATGAAAGCAGGTGAGTTTCCAAGTGGGGAGGCCTTGAGTCAGGAATGAACCAGCGTCCTCATCAAGGAGGTAGCAGGCCTGGCTGGAACATGGATAATTGTAGGAGAAGAAGATGCACAGTCCTTTAAAATGAGGCCAGAGGAGGTTGGGCAGTCTGAGCCAGCTCAGGATTCCCTCTGCCATTCCACACAGCTACCCCCAGGATGCATCACTTGAGGATTTGATGAGTCCCTGCTTGTACCCAGTGTTGCCAGCTTCACTGACAGCCTTTGGGGGAGAGACTCACTGGGGTGATTCTAAGGCTGAGGATGGCACCCACCTGGGATGGGGAATAGGCATGGGTACACCCCCAGGAAGCTGGCCATGCACCTGCCCTGGGCGTGGTTGGAGCCTCCCCCCGACCCCACCCCCACCCCCACCCCCGTGCCTGTCACACCCGGCGGGTTCCTGCTTCAGCCCAGTCCCCGGGGGGCAGGCAGCAGATGCTGGCCCTGTGGGTTTTAGTCTGAGCCTCAGTCACTGTGGTATTTCTTTGGCGGCGGGACCAAGCTCACCGTCCTAGGTAAGTGGCTCTGAAACCTGTCCTACCCCTCTGCTGTCTCTGGAAAGTCCATTTTCCTCTCTGGGGGTTTCTTTCCCTCTGCCCTCCCCAGCCTTAATAACTGACCCCTCATCTTTCTCTGTGGGTCTGGGGAGGTGGGTTGCTCTTAGGGTAACGGCAGGAAGGGCCCCAACAGCAGCAGCCACCCTGATCAACTTCCAACAATTGCCCACAGCCCAGTGCTGGGACCAGCTGGAGTTGGCCAGGGACTGGCTCCTTCCTTTGCATGGGGCAGTTGCCTAAGTGGGCGGCAGAGGCCAGTTTTGATGAAGGTCACAGTAGCAGCATTAGAGATAGTCCCCAAGTCCCCAGAGTTTGGGCCAAGGGCTAGATGCCCATCCCAGCTAGGGAGGTTACCAGGGTCCAGGGACATGGGGGTATAGGAGGACACCCTGGGGGAGACCAGTGGAGGGTACAGAGAGGGCTCTGGGTCGAGGCTGCAGCTCTTGGGCCTCTCTTGAGCCTTGAGGACATGGGATCACAGAGGAACTGGTCAGTATGGGTGAGGTGACCAGAGTCCAACCCTCCCTGGAAAGGCAGCAAAAAGGACTGGGTCCCTTGCTGCGGAGGCTTCTCCCTGGAGCTTTTCACCCCTGGGCCTGGAGTCTCACCTGCCCATAGCTGGCCTCCCACCATACTCAAAGGGCACCTTAGACTCAGGGGATGAGTGGGGGTTCAGAGGACCATATGGCTGCCAATAAAGTCAGGAGTCATCAGAGGTGCTGAGTGGTCCTATGGCAACCATGTCCTGAAGTCTGGGGGAGCCCCTGAGAAACAGCCAAGGCAAGGAGTACTATGGTTGGGCTGGTGGGGAGGGGAGATGGCAGAGCCTCACAGGAGTCCTCACGGCTCATCTGTAGAGCCCACTCTCCTGGGAGAGCTGAATGGGCTGGGCTGGGCTTGAGCTTGATCTCCAGGGCTCACTAGATGCTGTGTGTAGCTTCAGGGCCTCCCCCCACACAGCCAGGGCAGTGCTTTGGGCTGGGCAGGGAACCACTAGATCACAGAAGTCCTGAAAACACTGAAAGATTGGAGTGGGGCGAGAGGTTGGGTCTGTGAGATCCAGAGGTCAGGGCCAGATTTCAAACTCAGACTCCAGAGACCAAGGAAGAGGAAGCACAGCCTGCCTGGGGACATGGGGAAACTGAGGCTGCAGAGGGGAGCAGCTGGGCCAGGCCACTTGGAAGAGATGACTCGCCAGTGGCCTTCAGGAAGGCAGAGGGCTGTCTGCTTTCCAGAGGGCTCAAGTGGGAAGAAGGGAAAGACAGAGGAGGCAGAGTCCCCAGGTGGACCAGGTGACAAACTGAGAAGGGTCACACAGACTTCAGACAGGGAGGAGGAGTCCCCAACATGCAGGCTGCCCTTCATCCATCTTACACCCTGGCCTCCATCCACACAGGTCAGCCGAAGGCCTCTCCCACTGTCAGTCTCTTTGCACCCTCCACTGAGGAGCTCAGAGGCAACAAGGCCACACTGGTGTGTCTGA